CGGCTCGGATATTGAAAGCGCGTTGTGAATCGAGTTGATCTCTCTACTATCGCTGATCTCGGGGCCGAGCAGACTAGCGGACTCGCAGCCACCACGGCCAGCGCGCTAAAATTGGACCTCGACAAAACGACATATCGGGAAAAGGAAAAGACAAGGGACCCAGAATTCAACAGCATTTTGGAATATCTAACCCGCTTAGGCCTTCATTTTCTCAAAAATAGATACTTATAAAATTCCCAAACCTAATGTTATACCATTCTGTTTTAATTAAACCAATTTTTTTTGTTCTCATTAATTATTAAAACAGATCTCCTGAATATTTAATTGCAACAAGTATTATAAATATCTTCAGCTTAGATGGTCTAGATGTACCTATCGTCTTTCAATGTTATGGTTCTAGTCTTGCCAGTATGATATTCATCGTTATCCATTTTTATGAGATACCAAATGTTTTGTTGTAGACAGCCGTCATTGAATCACTTATATAGATCCAATTTCAATGTTTATGCATGACTCATTTTATTTTTGTCACCATAGTATGCTTATTTGTACTAACATTAATTTGTGTAATTTTGCAAAATTCACGTCTTTTTTTGTTTGTTTGAAGATGTTTCAGATTTTAAAAAAATAAAGGGTACGATGCGTAATTGTTGTTTTTATTGCATTGCCTGATTTCCTATCCTTGTGTATTGTGTTGCATGCCAAACACAATGCAGTTTTAATTTGGTTGATTGTTGAACGGTTGAAGTTACTAGGTTTCGCAACCAATAAAGCTTTAAATGAGAAATTTGCGCTGGATGTATCTGCTCTTTCTACCATGGTTACTTGGTATGAGAAGAGTAGAGTGAAGGTGTGTTTACATCAGCAGGTCGTGGTCGTGAGAAACACGTGAAGACCGAAAATGTTGTTCTAATCGGTCTTTTCTCTCGAATTTGTCAAACATTTCTGTAAATTCACGATTGAATTTAATCAGGCACCGTCTGAACGTACTGTCAGCTTGTTCAATCGCGTCTCGTATATTTCTATTGGACTAACAGGTAACAATGCAAGGTTATGTTTGGCAATCTGATCTAAACACAAATGTAGCTAAAATAACTTGATTTTGAAAACTCAATATTTTGTTTACGTTAGCATAAATATGAATAGCAACGAAGAAGACCCAATACCAAAGAAGGGTCACAAAATGACTGATGAGGAGAGAGCAGAACTAGCTGCAAAACTTGACGCTGATCTGGATGCATTCATTGGTGGACTCGAGAAGAAAACTTACACAGAAGGTTGGCCGGAGGACCGATGGCAAGAGGTAACTAATCGTTGTTTGTGGCAAAGTTTTAATTTAAATTGTCAAAGCCCATTCAAACCTACTGTTCATGCTCAGGAAATGGAAAAACACCCGTTCTTCATGACTAAAGCCCCAGAACCAGGAGAGGAGCTTTCGCCGCTTATGCAGGGTATTCAGCAATTGAAGTATGATGAAACTGAAAATACACCAGAAGGTAATTTTCACAGCTTGAATGTTTACTTGTGTGCTAATAATAGTTACACAGTATGTAGCTTTTATTTTCTTTCAACTTATTCTTACTATCCCTAAAATTCTAGATCTTGCAAAAGCTTACAAAGAAGATGGAAATTTCAACTTTAAATGTAAAAAATACCGTCATGCCATAATTGCATATACTGAAGGTCTCAAGAAAAAGTGCCAAGATGATGATTTAAATGCTCAGCTATATAATAATCGAGCTGCCTCCAACTTCTTTCTAAAAAATTACAGGTTCCATAACATTCTGTAGTTTTATCTATCCATTATAAGCAATATACAACATTCCTTATGATAATTTCATTCTTTTGCCAGATCATGTCTGAATGACTGCCTAGCTGCTTTGAAACTGAAAAATGATTATTCTAAAGCTCTTTGTAGAGCTGCAGAATGTTATTTTCACCTTAATAATTTTGATGATTGTATAAACTTCTGTGATAAAATTATTTCATGTGAAAAAGATAATAGAACTTTTGTGGATTTACGTAGTAAAGCAGAACTAGCTAAGGTAAGTGCATTAATCCTCATAATATATTTCATGTGTGGGGGATCTAATGAATTCAATGAGGTATTATTTATTCCTACAGAGAGCTGCTGAGCGAGATAGAAGGAAACAGTTGGCTGCAAGCAAGAAGGAAGAGAAGAGGGGAAGTGAATTAGTGGCTGCAGTGCAAAGCAGGAAAATAAAATTCAAGGGCAAAGGCAAAGGTTATATACTTATACTGTCAGAAGCATTTTGGTGCTGCACAAATACTGAAACTAACTTAAAATAAATATTAACCTTATATTTTGTCCTAGGTTCAGCAGAACTAAAGTTGTCTGATCTTGAGCCCCAGTTTCCTGATGCTATGCGCAATCATGTTACTATTGATGAAAGTGGAAGACTTGTGTGGCCTGTTATATTTATGTACCCTGAATATAAATTGACTGATTTCATTCAAGCTTTTCATGAGGATGAAACGTGAGACATTTTTTGTACCTCTACGTCTACTTATTTTAAACATGTGTGTCATTGTGTCATGGTATAATTGCGATCTATTTTTCTTGCCATTGTTGTAGATTTGAAAATATGCTTAGTGAGGTTTTTTCTGAGCACCCCGAGTGGGATACTGAAAAGAAATACACTCCTCAGAACGTGCGTGTGTACTTCGAAGATACATTTGGTGGACGTTTCCATAATATTCCAAACAAATGGACTTTAGGCCAAGCTTTAACCCACGAAAGGTTTGTTTTATTACTATTTTTCCTCAATCACGTACCATATCATTTTTCTGTTCTAAACATTTTTCTGTTCTAAATCTACTTTGATTTTTCAGGTACTACTTGCAAGGCGGAACTCCAGGCTTTCTGATTCTTGTTTCTGGAAGTGAAGCAGAAAAAACTTATGTAAAATAGGCAACCCCTCTCTTTTGGAATATACTACTTGCTTTTCTCTCATGCAATCTCAAATGGTTGCGGCAATCAAATTGTTCCTAATTCATTTCTCGACAGAGGAGAGGACATATTTACAGACGGGCGAGGGAGTAGCGCTTGCAGGGGCCATGGGAGTGTCTTGTCGCGGTCGGGTCGGTGAACAGGCGCCGGAATGTAATGATGGCTCGCTCCCACTCCTGAGGCGCCTGTGAACTCGAGGGTAGGCAACCTCCCGCCACCTCGCGCTCCCACGCGCGGCGGGCTGGCCTACCCGCTGCCAGGACAGGCGCTCGCCCGCAGAGCCGACGACGATGTCGATGTCGTCGTTTTGATGGAGTAGACCGGCACCGGCAGGTGCAGGTGTCGTGGCGACCGGGGGGTGGGGCCTTTAGGTCGCAGGTGCTATTAATCACTCCTATCCTCAACCAATCGATTGATTGGTCGATTGGTCCTTTATTTTCCAATCGCTGTCCCGGCCAAGGCCCTCCTCTTGATACGGAGGCGCGCTGTCCTGTGTCCCGCCCTCCCGACGCCGGTCCCGCCCGTCCCGCCCGGTGGTCGGTATCGCTCTCCCTAATCTGTCTAATGCCCCTCCCCCCTCCTCCTCTCCATGTTCCGCGTCACCGTCGGGGAATTCCCTGGTCGCGGAGGACACCTTCGCTAGATCGCTCTGCCAATCTGAGCAGGTGACCCATAAGTCCAAAGAGTATTAAACACGCACCAGCTGCAAGAGTTGTGGCGAAAAGAGGCAGACCATGCGCCAAAGCTCGGCTCGGATATTGAAAGCGCGTTGTGAATCGAGTTGATCTCTCTATACTATCGCTGATCTCGGAGCCGAGCAGACTAGCGGACTCGCAGCCACCACGGCCAGCGCGCTAAAATTGGACCTCGACAAAACGACATATCGCACACGCCATCTCCCACTCTCGCCAAAAAAAAGGAGAATGCGTTATTCGCTCGCTGGTCGAGTTGTTCGAGGACAGCCGGACTGCCGCTACCGGACTCACCGGGCGGTGTATATTGTCTGCTGCACAAGTTATTAAAACATGTATGGAAGGAGAGGGGAGGGGGGACTTCGCCTTCTGTTAGAAACAGTCGTAGGAACTGTCTTAAAACAACTTCGTTTTCTTCAAAATAGTGTGATTCTAGTGTTTTAATCCAAGGGTCAAATGAGGTCAAGTGTTTGCCGGACATGAGCAAGGTTAGGGATCATTTAGAAAGAAGGTGCACCAGTTTGCCCACGTCCAAGCTCTCCCCAAGTAGCAGAGATTTGTCATTAATACGTCAATATGACATCAAATTTTGGTCAATTTTATTTTAGTCACTATGACGTTTTTTCCATTGAAGAACATGACCATTTTTTGATGTCAAAATGACATCATAGTGATAAGACGGAATTTTTAAACAAATAATATTGCTGGCCATTTTGCAGGCTCTTGACGCACTCTGCTTGATTGTCTCTATCTACTCTCTCAGCTTTGCACCGCCAGAATTTGACATGAAATGTAATCTGCAAGTGGGATTCGAACCCACGACCTTTCAATCCCAGCAGTGACTTGCTAACCCCTGAGCCACATATGGATCTGAATAGCATTGGCTTACGTGCTCCTAGTGGTTTAATTTAAACCCATGTTTACATTAGCTGATATCATATCGATGTAAACATTACAGTTTCTATCATTATGCAAAACAGTCAAAAATTTGTCAGTTTTTAGTCTTGGTCAATAAGTTGTCCATTCCATGTCACATTGTGGCTGCTGTGACCTGTTTGATAAAAATTAGGTCAATATTATGTCAATTTGATGTATTCTTGACTAATCTCTGTAACTTGGGTCTGAGCTAGCGCCTGGCAGGTAGGCAACGTCTCGCCTGCAGTGCATCAGTGCACTGCGGGGTGGCCTATCCCGAGTCTCGCAGGCGGCCGAGGTTCGCCCGCGGATATGGTCCGAATGAATCTGCAGGAAAACGGTGGGCGTCATCTCTGAATGATCACCCAGCACGGCGTGACCTATAACCGCCGGTAATCCGATGGCGTGCGTGGGCGCGCGCCGCTCCTCATCCGTCTGCACCGAGCTGAACTACTTACTGACGAGACCGCGGCCCGCCTCTTATCTCTATCGCACCATTTGGGTGTGTCGAGTGTCCGGGGGCGTGCCTGAGCACCGGGATTAAAGCAATGTCATTCAATCTGATTGTTTTTATTCAATCATGCCACTTGTTTTATTTCCCGTCATGGAGATCGAAGCGCATACAATCTTACAATCTGCAAAAATGTTCTAATACTTTCGGGTCGGTTTATTAGCGAAAACATAGCTCGAATTGGTGTTATGTACTATGTACGCAAAATCTGCAGTTGGACGGGCAATTTTCTCGCTTGCGTCTTTCAAATTGCGACGCGGGGATCACCACTAGGTAGGTGTCTGCCGGCCGGCGCGGCCCCCGCCGCCAGTGCAGCCAACCGCCGCGCCACGGTGGCTAGCCCGCACGGCGGTCTAGGCGAACGGTTGGCGCACCTGGAGGCGCCCTGTTGTGCCGCCTGTGGTTGTTGTTGTTCGCGGCCCCCGTGTGTGTGTGTCTTTTGCGCTCCTTTTTGGCGGGCCGCCCAGTGGCACGGGGCCACCCCGCCGCCCGCGGGCCTCGCGCGCGGAGGGCCGTCCACTTGTCGGCTCCGGGCGGCGCGCCGACACCTCCGGACATCTCCGGGACACCTCCGCGAAGACCTTATCGGTGCAGTGCGCCGCGCTGGCCGGGCCGTCCGTGACGTAACGGCGCGACTTAACCTCACCAGCTGAGCTGGCCGCGCGCAGCTGCGCGCCGCGCCACGCCACATGGAGCCGAGCAGCTCCCGCCCCCGTGACCACGACCGCCCGGGGCCGCGTCACCGTCTCCATGGCGACGGCGAGGAGCTCCAGCAGCTGTTGTCGTGCGACGACTCGCAGGACTCGGACGCGGAAGGTAGGGAGGGAGGGGAGGCTTGGCGGCGGCGGAGCTTCGGTCAGGTGTCGGGCGGTGTGCCATGTCCGGCTTATGTCATGTCATTGGGAAGGGGCGGGAAGGGGACATGGACAGCCGATTCTTAAAACTGCATTTTATTGACGGCCGATAATACGTCCTGGCCAGGTGGCTGAAAAGGCTTCGGCCGACATAGCACTCGAGATACCCATACTGGCAGACCGGCGAGAGGACAATGCCTGAAGGCTGATGATATGGCCGGACCGGCTCGATTTTTGATTACGTGGTTGTTTTGAAAACACTTCGACGTCTCAAGTAGTTGGGAGGGATCGCGACTAATCAAACAACAAAATTGGAAACCCGCAATTTTGGATTCTCGCTCGTAGGGATTAAGGATTATTCGTGATTCTTACTCTGAAACAAAAAGTAGGCCTATGACAGGATAAAATAGTGTGACGTTAAAATTTGCAGTCAACTTCATCCTGATAAGAGTAAAAGAAAAATATATCTTTGTAAATTTGGGACGAGCAAATCTTACTTAAGGTACGAGTTCTGTATCCGAGTTTGTGTCGATGTAGGTTCCGGGAGTCAGCAGATAAAAGGAACCTTGACCAAATATGAAACTCATTTCTTTACTTTTCGAAAAACGTTAGTTTCCTGTCCCGTTAACGCACACAATATTATTTCGGTGAGGGCCACAATGCGAAGTGGGATATGCAACATGAACTGAAAAATACTTCCAAAGAATACGTTTACAATAAAATCGTCATACTTTTGCGTTAAAAATTGTATAAATTGGTTACAGCATCTATTGTGTAGTGGTTTCATGGGTCACAGGGGCTGCCGTCTCCCTGGCATTTCCCAACTAACTTTGCTCCTACTAAACGGACCGCGCCGAAATCTAGCGCTAGTAATTGATTTCCATTTCGGTCCACATCGTTTGGTGCGTCCGCGAGGTCGCGCCGATGCGAGCGCGCGAGGCTGGGAGGTCTGCGCGGCGCGCAGACGCGTGCGGACCGAGGGTGTGGGAGAGAGAGCGAGAGTGAGTGAGTGTCTGCGCTGCTCGAGTCTCGAGTGTAAAGGGAAGGGACATGCTTTGGGTCCATACAAGAGGGCAAGCGAGAAACCGAGAAACAGACTCCGAGTGTTCGCTTCATCAATAACATTTTTGCAGTGTACATCAGTTTGCGTGTACTGGCCGAGGACCGAGGCATGGAGTAGGGCCCTACTCTCATGACCGAGGATTCTGCTCGTCATCTATAGATGGTCAGCAATCAAAAGGGGTTCTTGACCTCGGCCCCATATCTTCATATTCACCAATCTCATTTAAAACTCGCAATTTTCAAAAGCAAGAACATTTTACAGCAATAGAGGTAAATGTTTTTTTTTCCTTTTTCACGGTCGTAAGTCGTGATGACTTGCGCAATGCGCAGTGTGTGTCGATGAGCACGCCGCCGGCCACGGCCCGGCTGCGTGCGCCGCGGGCTGCCTGCGCCCGGCTGCCTGCTCTCCCACGGGGATCCACACCCCGACCCGCTATCGGCCACCCGCGGCAAACACCCCGGCGGCTGACAGCAGCAGCTTGCCGGCTCCTGACTGAATCGAGCCCCGCGCGCCATGTAAAGGGTTGCGCCACGCGCTGCAATTCGAATTCGACCCACCGAATAGAGAGTAGCATCAGTAAAAACGGCGTAATTGACTCATATTACGTCGATCACTAGATGATGACGCACCGTTTTTCCTGGAATATTTGGAGATCGGACGTGCATCCTTCCGCGGTTTCCAGCGATCTGCTGCAAAAGTGGCGCGGCCCGCGAGCGACCGAGCGTCTGACGGGTAGGCAATTCCCCCGACGTCAACACTCCCGTGTGCGGCTGGGTTGCCTACCCCAAGGTTTGCAGGCGGTCGGGGGGACTGGCTACCTTCTGAAAACTTACCTTGACAAGTAGTTGCCTTTCCAAGAAGTTGAACGAAGTTGAACGGTGCCGTCGTGAGGGTATGCCAACGCTCGGCACACTATCTTTATACAACTCTTTTCAACGGTAGGTCGATTTGCCCTGCTGCCCCAGTTTTGTTTTCGGAGCCAGACAACTACCTTGTTGCATAGCGACGCTTTATCGGTGTGTGTATGCCTGGTATATTCCCATATACACACACACCCTCTTACTTGTGCACTCGCACACACACACACACACACACACACACACATACACACACACATATACACACTCACACACACGTTAGTCACACACGGGCCTACAAGCCAGTAGCGGATGTCACACCAGAGCTATGCTAGCAGTTGTGCACGGGTGCTAGGCGAGGGCGCTGATCTAAAAGAGCTGAGCCGAGAAGGAAGCGGGCGGTGTGATGCCTTTGGACGAGCAGGATGTTGAGGATGTCGGGAAGGGGCGCGACGTCGGCGATGGGCCGGACCCAACAGCAGGTAAACCGTCAGCGTCCGTGATCCCGTCGGGGCTGGGGCTGCTTATTGCAGAGCTCTGCTATCCGTTCAGTGTCCAGAGCCACTGTTAGTTAGATTAAACTGATGCTGCGACGCTCTACGGCTCTCAATTTGGCAAATTTTTCGTAAAAGTAATTTTTCACGCGAAAAGTCGCGCATAGACATACTCTCACGTGCTTATTCGAACTTCAAAGGACCGCTTAGTTCGCTTGACGGGCCGAGCTTGTTGAGTGAGAAGGCCAATGCTATGGCCTTTGACTAAACACTCTGTGGTTGGGGTGCGCTCATGGGACAGGCTTGCATACTGATAGTCATAATCTTATTACAATGCAACTTCAAGCGCACGAGTCACTCGCGACTCGCGGGCGCGGGGCTTTCCTGTTGGAACGCCCCTCACGGACGAGGGGGAAACAAGTTGTCCTTTTTGTGGAAGCAGAGACGGTTGAATTATTTATTATTTATACACTTTCGACACACGCGCTCATTGAACACAGCAGTTCTGACCTGAGTCGGCAATAACTCAGGAAGGCTTAACGAGAAATGAGAGGAGGAGAGGATGAGCAGTACACGCAAAAACGTGCATGACGTTTCTTGTTTCCTTTCTCCGTAGATTCGCCTTTGCTGCGGGGCCCGCGTCGCCTGAGCCTGGAGAATGCGGAGACCGACGACGAGCAGGTGAGTGGTGACCAGAGCAGAGCCGCGGCGGCGCCTCGTCCCAACAACGGCACCAGTCACCACGGCCCCTGGCGTGTGGCAGGTGGCGACCGCCCAGTGACCCCCCGCGCCAGCGGCGGCGCCAGCGCCTTGTCGGCGAGGACGGTCGTCACGGCCACCATGACGGCGATGGTCACGACCACGGCCACCGTGATGACCACGACGGCGCGCGCGCGCAGGGACCGCAGCGCCTGATGGATGATGGTGATCATGATGGTGATGGTCATCAGGTCGAGGAGGACGTAGCCGAGGGGTACTTACTTGTCTCAAAAATATAAGTACATACTCAAAAAAATCAGGACAAAACAAAATGAGAAATACATTGAGGAAAAAAATCAAGAAAAAGTTTCATAAATAGTCAGAATCTGTTTTTGTGTTGTGATTTTTTAAAAGAAAAAATCAAGAAAATTACAGAAAAATTTGTGTACGCTCGATAGTTAAGTACCCCTCGGGCGTAGCTCGGCGGGTGAGGGGCTCACCCTGCGCAGCGGGAACAGCTGGTGCAGCTGCTTGTGGAGCTGGCGGCGCGCGTGCAGCGGCAGCGCCCAGCGCGCCCTGGCCCTGGCCACGTCCGTCGTCACCGTGGTCTTGCTCGGCTCGAGCCTCGGGGGTGCGACGGCGATGCGGTCCGGCCGGCTGCTCGGCCCGGCGGCCTGCTGCTCCGGCTCCGCGCCGACGACGCCCTCCGAGGCCGGCGTCGCACTCGGCTCCGGCTCGGCCCTCGAGAAGAACATGGTCGCGGCGTCGTCGTCGTCGCTCGTTCGTCGACACACCGACAGCAACGCGGCGCGTCGTCACCATGACGATGTTGGGCGTGAGAGTGTTGACAGCCTGGCAGCTGCGCCAGCAGCGGCACAGCGGACACGACCGCGTGCTGTATTGTTGGAGCTGACTATTTTTTGTTGTTGTCAATCTGTGCTTTTACGGAGACGAGTGCCGGGACGACGCCGTGCGTACGCCCGGAGGAGGAAAGGGGAAGGGGGAAGGGAGTGTCATTTGTGAAAGCCGTGATGGAGGTAGTCGCGCGATGGGAGCGCGTCGTCTCCTCGCCTCACCAAGAGAGACGCACGCCGACCCGCCCCGACCCGAGCCAACCCGACGCGACCCACTGAGAGGAGGAGGCGGAGGCTGAAGGGAGGGGGCTTCGCTTCCCTCCTGCAAGCCGCCAAGAAATGAACACGGTGGCCGCGGTAGCGG